GTTGTAAATTAAGACCAGTTAGTTTTGATGATGAATAACCAAGCTGATAATAACTTTATTTTTGAAAACTTAATAGTACAACATTCACTGTAGAGGTGAATGGGTCTTAGGGGGGAGGATGGGAGGCAGAGGGAGGGGGGGGTTGTTGCTGCTATTGATTACCTATTCCAGTAATGCTTGCTCATAGCACCAGCCAGGTGGAAAAAGAAAGTAGAGGAGAGTGAAGTCATGTGGTTAAAGAAAAGAAGTGATGAATAGTCAGTCTATTTTTTCCTTTTTCTTTTTCTTACTTTTTCTTTTCATGATCTTGACAGGCCAACTGTTCATAAATATATTTATGTGTATGGATATTATATATACTTTATATGTCTTTGTATGTGTATATATGTACATGCATACATATGTATACTAATTTGTACTTTTATGTACACCAAGACTTTTATGGAAGATGACTGAATCCTGCTCCCTCTCACCCTGTCTTTATTAATCTTCTTTCTCTTCATTTATCCTTTTTTTTTATTTTTTCCCCCTTTTATACTACATGGGTTTGATTTAAGATTTGATTATGATTCTGTTGATCAATTTGGCCAGGTGCTTGAGCATACATATAACTCATTGTATTTCTTTTCCTTTTGTTCATCTATTTCTTATCTTTTATTTTATTTTCCTTTCTTTTTTATTGTTTGTAATTATTTAGTTTGACTGCATCTAACCCAGTATGTTTAGTTTGTGCATGAGAAAGAGTTGATTTAATAGCATGTTTTGGTTTTATTATAATTGTTATTATTATTATCATTTTTATTATCATTAGTTATAATTACCCTTAAATGCAGGCATGCCTAGCTGCTTTTGCTTATTATTCACAATCTGCATAAACTTTTTATTTATTTTTCATTCCAGAAACGATTAGCCTGAAAAAAAGCTCATAATCAGGCACTATAATGCTATGCTACTGGCATGGCTTCCAATTTTGCTGTGACACTGACCGCTGGGAAAGGCAATGTGATAACACGTCGATGCTGTTGAAGCTAACGAAGGGAAGGAGGGATGAGGGAAGGAGGGAGGGGGTGAGGGATGAGGGATGGAGGGAGGGAAGCAGCAGCAGCAGCAGCAGAGCGAGGGAGGGAGGGCCGGTAGATATGAAGTGGGGTGGCCAGGCAGGAGGGGAGGCGTGGCAAGGGAAGGGTGAGGGGAGCATCAAACGAGGAGAGAGGGGCAAGCGAGGTGCTACACTAACCTAGAGACCTGTTAGGATCAGTGGTGCAAGTGTTGGTGTTGTGTGCAGGGGTGAGTGTGTGGTGCTGCTCATGGTTGTCCCGTAGAGTTGTGTGGGTGGGCCTGACACCCTCCCTCTCTTGCAGGTGTGTAGGCATAAAGGCGCAATGGACTTCACAATGAACATGATGGATAATGGTCGGGCCATCCCTACGTCTCAGGCCGCTGCCGTGGCTGCCATGGGTGGTCAGGTCGCTTACCAGGCGCACGCCGTGAGTGTGACCCCCACGGTCAGCCAGCAAACGCAGCCACAGCCACAGCCGCAACAGCCACCCCCGCCAGCACCGGCACAGCGAGGCAGCCTGCACGAGAGTGACGGTGGGGCGGGACTGGGGGGGGAGGGCAAGGTCCAGGAGTTGACCAAGGACGACTCTCAGGGGGCCTTCACCCCCCCACCCCGGGTCTCTTCCGTCACGTCACACGAAAGTCGTGTAGAGAAGGGTACCGACACCAATGACTTTGAACCACTGATCAAGGTTGAGATTAGAGGGGGGATTCCGGGGCTCAATATTGGCGGCGAGAAGGACAAAAATAACATTGTCCAGTTACACTTCAACAGTGTCAACGAGGTGTTGCATTACTTTTCGCAGCGGTCAGTGCCACAGCACATTGATGCCTTCAATCTTCTCACCAACCCAGACCTGGTGCGCAATATCAACCCCGACCTGGTGCGCAACCACTTCCTGTACGTGCCCAACCCTCAGGAGGGGGTACGGGTGGCCTCCAACGGTTACAGCTCAGGCGGCTCCAACTCGGCCCAGACCCCTCCAGCCCAGGGGGGGCCTGCCACCTCACCTGTAGTCGTCAAGCAAGGCTCCAGCAGCAGTGGGGGCTACAGCAAGCAGGGGGACCGACGGCGGGAGTCCGGCCAGTCGAGCTCCAGCACCCTTGCACCCGGCTCCCTCATACCCAGACCAGGAGTAGACCAGTCAGGAGCCTCTTTTGTTTGCTGGATTTGTGGCTTGGACCTGCAGAAATCTCTGCAGTTTGAGGAACACATGGTGGATCAACATAGTGTGGATAAGCCCTACCGGTGCGATGACTGCGGAGTCACTTTCAAGCGCAAGGCGCACTTGGACCGGCACCGGCGGATCCACTTGCCCACTCGACCCTACCAGTGTGCAGTGTGTGGCAAGGGCTTCACCCGAAACGAGCATGTGCGGCGTCACTCCTTCACCCACTCAGGAGAGAAGCCCTATCACTGCCCCACCTGCAACAAGACGTT